TTAATTTCTAATCTGTATACCGCTAGTTCTGGCGGACAGTTGCGGTCTCAGCGCACTGAACTGAGCAAGTGGGCTACCTACTCGGGTAAATACGCCAAAGTTGGGGTGACAAAAGGGTGTACCCAATGTACAGTACAGTAGACTGGGACGACAGGGCGACCTTCCTTCTTCCCCGGCCACGCTCACCCGTGGGCCGTGGCACGTGACATCCTGTTTGCGTGAGGCGGCGGCACGCAGCAAAATCTCCCATCTCTATTCTATTCTCCATCATCAGCCACGGCGAGGTTCACTCACCATATTCATCATTCTTCGAGGGTCTACACTTGTACATTTTGGCGTGCCTGGCCTTCATAAATAATAGGGACATACATAGCCGAAGTGCGGATACAAAAAGTGGCCGTGTCCCGAGCCGAGAGACTAGATGACCCGCTGTGCCAACGCTGTGCCAAGGCTCTGCTCGATGGGGTGCACGGGCCATGCTAGACGTTACTGTCCTCATGGGCGTACTTTCAGCACTGCTGGTGGCCCTTCTGTGCTGCCGCGCCTTGTCATGAAGGGCGAGGGTGGGGTTCTTCAAATCCCGGCTAGTAAACATCTGTTCACCAGAAACACACCCACTCTTGACCCCCGAGAGGACAAGTTATGCGTAGTCCTAGCTCGACTCGACTCGATCACACGAGAGCGAGGTGTCATACGAAACAATGGTAACGCCGTATTCGACGTATACAAGGCTTGTCTTACCAAAGTTTTCTCCATACGGCTTCCATGCACTATGATACTCCTTTTGGCCCTCTCATCAACTTTGATAGCGCGGCAGCAGCTCATTGGTCCATCAATCCCAATATGATCTTCTGTCAAGCTCGGCGGCCACTCCTCAGAGGGAAGGAAGTACACAGCCTCCAGGCCGAAGATCTTTAAACACAAAGCCCTATTATGTGCCGTAGTGTTTGTTTTCCAGTGACCTCCAGAGAAATGTTGTCACCTTCGACTGCTTAAAGCTATTACTATCCACTTCGCCCAGCTCACGCGGGTGGGGGGTAGCTGAGAAAGGTGCGGATGTTTTCATCAAGATCAACCGTGAGATTATCCGTAAATTCGATCTGTATACTTGAAATGGAGAGCTTCGATCGAATACCTTATATCTAGCATGTCGTCAACCCAGTGCCCAAAATTGGTGATTTACGAATGACCCGCCCTCGACGGTGGTGACTGTTTGCTGCGTAGCGCTGCCTACAACTACCCGAATATGGCATTTCTCGGACTCGTTGTTTCCATGTCAAATCTCGCTAGTGCGACCATTACCAGCTGACGAGACTGCCGCCCATCAAGAGTGCTGTTCTGATATATCACTTATTCCTTGATGTCCTTATATTCCAGCGTGGCGTGGCATTCAGGGGCAAGATGATAGTGCCGTCAGCTCGTCCATTATTACCTTCGCTACTGTCACTGTTTCAGAAAGCGTCTACAAGAATTGACAGCCCATGATAGGTCCAATGCATTCACACATTGATGGTCCTACGTTATCTCCGCACCGCCGGAGCCAATGAGGCTAGTTGGCAAGCCATCACGCGCCCGACGTGGGTTGGTTCAAATGAGGCCCGCCTACACGTCACGGCCTCCCTTCCTTCTGCCATTTTGCCGCAATTACTGCGGGCTTCATGATGCCTGCTGATTGAGTTGGTCACGGCAACTGCTTTTTACCTGGTGTTTCAGCACGATTCATACTGTATGTCTATGCCTAACTCACGGTACTTGCTTCCACGCAGTCGGCTCTAAGCAACGATTGCCGAATGTCGGCGTAAAGTAAGAGAGTATTTGACGGGTCTCACTCAGAGATTCGCAGAAAGTCAGGGAGATTCGAGGCCGAAAGCAGTCGAAATTCAGGCAACCACCTGACACCAGTGATTCGTATGTCGTGGGGCTATCATCCTGACTGGAGAGTCGTGCCTGAGGATGCTTCCCACACCGGCGGAAAGACGATTCCCTTGTGCGGACACTCTGTGATGCTCAGGGTCATCGCTGTATGGGCGGAAGTTGGGGGCTTCTCGGCCATCGATTGAGCCTCATTTTTTCCGCACCAGTCCGGAAGTTATGACCAGAAATGGTGTCCAGGGGACTGCGCAGGATCAGCAGATGATCGTGGTCACCCGGTGGAACTACCTCCGGCGGGGGACGCATGGAGTGCTCGCTTGCCGTGTAATTCGGTAAGCAACCTGGGCGGTCGAATGGGCTAGAAGATCAAAGAGACGTCAGGTTATATAGTAGGGGATGGAAGACAGTTTCGCAGAGATGCAGGATGAAATGGCAGCGGCGCAGTCACAGGCGGGTCCGGGACTTTCTACTCCGGTGACATTGCACAGCCACAGCCACGCGTTACTTTAGTGCCACGTGAGGATACGATCAAACTCTCCACTACTCTACTCACAACACTAGCCAGCTACATGTGAAATCCGGGCTTTCGGCAAACATCTCCGTACTGCACAACATTTTGCTGGACCGTATCGAGTATCCAGAATTCCGGCTCTCCTGATCACCCCGTCGTTTGCCTGGCCGACCGGGATATAGCCGGGCCTTGTAAATGGTGCCCACGTCAGCATTACTGCATGGAGTCTTTTTTCACGGTTCTTTTCTATTCCACTCCACTGCCCCCTGCTTCCTTGGGGTGGCGGGTGAAATTACAGTATCCATTCGCTACGCCGCCAGCACTGATCCAGGTTACTTAAGATGAGACCGTAAACCTCGAACGTTTCGCTCTCTTTCCCTCCCCTCCGTACTCGTGGCAATGATTCCTCCTCTCCGTTCTGTGACCGTCACCGCGATAGTCGTGTCGTTTTTCAGCCCGGCGTTTGTTCGTGCGTGGTGTCGCAACCAACCTGGCGACCCTGGCTATCCCTCCCCTGCCGCCTGGTCCGCTCTGAACGACACCATCGATGGTCGTCTGCTCAATGTCGTACCATCTGTAGAGGCATGCGATGAGTTGAGGTGCACAGAGGCGCAGTGGCAAAGCGGCGTTTACCGACAAACCATTCCCGGATCAATGAATGCCGTTGGTATCTCCACTTGGTTCCTCTTCCCACTAATTGAGTTTTTTGCGCCCGTAGTACAATTGGGAACAGGTGATACCGCCCCAGTTATGGGACTTATTCCACGTTTTATTGAACGTCACCGTAACAACAGGATTACGACCCTCCCCCATCCCTTTGTTTACGAAATGGTAGCAGCTGTGCGCAGGGAAACGTCCCACTCTATGCAGTCAATGCCACAGCAGTCCAACATATTCAGGTCCGATTTATTTCACTTCCACTCCACAGTGGCAGATGCTCACATCTTTCTAGGCTGGAATAAAATTTGCCCAGGCCCACAACCTTCGCGTTGCTATCAAGTCTTCTGGTCACGATTACCTGGGTCGTTCTACGGCAAAGAACTCTCTCCTGCTCTGGACAGCTTACCTCCAGAACATCACCTTTACGGAACAGTTTCTCATTGCCGGTGCGGATCATGGGCCTGCGGTTACTGTTGGCTCCGGTGTTGGCCTGAAAACTATCTACGCTGCTGCAAAGGCACGAGATAAGATGTTTATAGGTGGCACTGCCGCTACAGTCAGCCCAGCAGGCGGCTATGCTCAAGGCGCCGGACATTCCGCGTTCTCACCACTCTATGGGCTTGCAGCAGACAATGTTCTCCGTGGGTGGTTCAGTTCTAGATGTCTTCCAACCAGCCTGAACAAGATCTCCCAGAGTTCAACGTCGTTCTGGCCGACGGCTCGTTTGTGACCGTCAACTCGGCATCTCACTCCGATCGTATGATATCTGTGAATTTTACATTGCCGTTCCTCTCATCTTGCTTTCCTCTAGTATTCTGGGCTTTGCGTGGGGGCGGCGCTGGAAGCTGGGGTGTCATCATTGACGCTACCTTCCCTACCCTCCCACTCTTCAACGCGACTCTACACACAGTGAATATTCTGACTGCGACGGTGGACCAGACGGCCAACTTGATGACGACCCACGCCAAGCACATCCGCGATTGGGATGAGGTCAGGGCCGGGCAGTACTTCTATCTATCGGGATCAACTTTGAATAGCACGCTTGCCGTCTCCACTCTCTTCAAAGACCTCGACGGTGACGGCAGCAAGGCGCAGATGGCTTCTTTCCTTGCTGACGCAATTGCACTTGGAGCAGTTGTGCAGGGGGAGACCACGGTTACTACGTTTGCCAATGACGTCGTTGGGTTTCAAGACGACTTGTCTGGGTATAATGTAATTCTTAGCTCCCGCCTCATTCCCGACTCTGTCTATTGCGATGAGCCGAGAAGCGTAGGTGCTGCATACAAGCAACTACTCTCTGAGGGTGTCCAGGGACTTCTTGGAAACCTTGTCGCTGGTGGTGCGTTCCCGCGAAAATCTATGGTTGTATTCCGGATTGACCATTCACATAGGCAAAGTGGCCGCCAATGCCCACATCGATTCAGCAGTCAATCCCGCATGGCGCAAGGCCAAGACTCATGTGAGCATTCTTCTCGGCATATTCGAGTCAAATCTTTTGACAATTTCTTTTCTTCCAGCTGATTGCCACTCAAAATTGGGACAGTGCGCTGTCCGCAGCAAGCGTGCAGGCACTGCGAAGGAATTTTACAGCAACCGTTAGACCTGTGCTCTCGGAGCTTGCTGGTGGCGCATCCAGTGGCAGTTACTCGAATGAAGGAGATGTCCTCGAGCCGGATTTCAGCGTCACATTCTACGGCTCGAACTACCACCGACTTGAAAGGATTAAGGCTGCATACGATCCTAACGATCTTTTTATTGTCCCAACTGGCGTCCGTAGCGAACATTGGGATGCAGAAGGGATGTGCAAGGCATGACCAACAATATCGTACATTTATTTGCGTTATTGTATTTAATTTTTATTACTTAGTTCTCACCGGAGAACGGAAACGGACATTAGATACAAGCATTAATTAATCTTCACGCCCATTCAATATTTTGATTTTGCAGTTCTTTGAGAGGGCACATGGTGTAGTTGGTTTATCACGCTCGCTTAGCAATGTTATGTGCGAGAGGTGTCCGGTTCAATTCCGGATGTGTCCATTTTTATTCTCGAGATGAGCTCGACCTCAAGAAAGTATTTTTGAGATTTGATGAACGATGCGGGTAAGTCGCGCCGCCATGCTTGTGTGTGGAGCTGGAGCTTGCCGGTTACGTACGCGGTGCTACGGGGCGTTGTTGACATTGGGGCGTGTACCCCGGGTCGATCAATAACCAATCAGCTAAATTTCAAGCACTGCAGAAAACAAGCAGACTATGTTCATTCACAGTCAGGTTCCGCGTTTGGGGGAATTACTCGTCATTTCCTGTACGCCGCCAACGAACGACAGAGGATGGTCCGCACGCAAACGCTGGGCTGACGGCGGACGGCCTGGGAGGACATGAATTCCAGCTGAGGCTATAACCCCTCAACGCGTCGCAGTCAATCCATCTTCCACACCCGGCCATCATGCACGCCGCCCCTCACATCGCAAGTCTTATTTCCCTGTCTTCGTTCCTTGTCAGTCTGACTATGGCACACCAACACAGGACATCTCTGCAGCCGAGCAGGTCTCGCTGCAGGACTTGACAGTACCAGAGCTCTCTCCCAGCGACCCGGTCAGCAACTCTACCTCGCCGTCCTCCTCGGCGCCTGTGACCCCACTTGACCCGCCGTCATTGGCAACCCCCCGGGACCCGCTCGCGTACGGGAAGCACCAGCCCGACCCGCGGCCGCTCAAGCCTATCACAAAGGGAACCTCCCGGGGAACGGTATGGCGCGCCAGACAAGCTCTGCTCAGCCTGGGGAAGCGAAAGAGACGGGCCAGTGCGGATGCGGGAGTCTCAACTGGCGTGCAGCTGCTCACCGACTATGACATGTCCGACATGGACATGTCGGACTTGACGGCCAACTTGAACCTGAGGTGGAGCCAGCAGTCCGCACTCAGGTGAGCCAGCCACCCCCGCCATCTTCCAAGCTTATGGACTTGACTCTTGCGAATGCCCCACAGTCCCTGTTCAACCTCCCGAACGTTCCGATAGAGAACACGCCTCGCGCCGTCCAAGGCCAATCTCCCGTACGTCCACTTCACCATCCATGTCCATTTCTCCACCAAACGCTTATACTCACCCCCACGTGCGTCGCCGTAGACCGTGCGTCCGCTCACAAGGCGCAGCAGCACACACGACACGCTCCCATCCGCCCCAGCGAGCCCGAAAGCGCCCGCCCGCTCAGCGTCCGCGTCCGCGTCGGCGCGTACCCCAGCACCACCAGGCGCACCTTGGACGCCACCGCGGCTCTCCTCCTCTTCCCCGCGTGTGCTCTCGCTCGCCCTGCGCGTCCTCCTCTTCCTCCCCTGGTGCGTCGCCGTCGGCGCCGCCATCGCGCTGCACCCGCGCTTGCTGCCGCCGCTCGTGCGTGCATACGCGGGTCCCCCGCGTACGCCGCTGCGCCGCCTCGCGCACCACGCGCATACTGCGCGTGCGCACGTCGGCATCTTTGCAGGCGCCGTCGGCCTCGTCGGCGCTGTGCTGCCGCGGTGGTCGCTCCGCGCTGTGCTTGTCGGCGCCGTTGCTGCGCGCGCGGTGGTGGTGTGGCGCGGCTTTGCGGTAAGCGTGGAGGAGGAGGAGCGCGAAGAGCGCGCGGGGGAGGACGGGGAGGAGTGGCGCGAGGACGCGAGGTGCGTTTGGAGGGTGTTGCGGGGGGAGGAAGAGAGGGAGATCGTCAGGGCGTGCCGCGCCCGCGGTGGCGGGGTTGTGGTGGTGGCGAAAGAGGAGTGAGGCGCCACTTTTCGCCCTCTACTTTTTTTTTCTTCTATTCTACCGATTGCGATCGATTCGTTTAGTAGTAGCCTCGCAAGAGGGTCCGCATGCCGTGTACGCACACACGGCTACATGTCTTCTTCTTTCCCACTTTTTTTGTAAACTTACATCCTACGCTTGACGCGGTTTTTTTTATTCCCCGCCGTTTTCTTGGGGGCCGGGGTTTTCTCTTGGAAATGTATATATACAGTAGAAATACAAATAACTGGCAGATTACATCTGTCGTTTTGTTGCGCGTGGATACAAGGGGCGCCCGAGACTCGGACGCCGCCGGGAGAAAGGCAGACTGGGGAAGAAAAGATCCAATATCCAATTCTCTAATCGTCCGTCGGCCGGAGTTGACACGATGCGCAAGATCGAGCCGGTCACCGCATCCGTGCGCGCGCGCGAAATCAGCAACTCCTCGCTTCTGCATACCACCACGAGTCACTTTGTCAGTTGCCCATCACCCATCAGTTATGTATCAGTGGTCAAGGGTTAGGTAGCCGAGTCAACTATCGTTTGTAACCGCTTGACTCGAGTGTTGGCACCTGGCAACAACTGTGGGACGATTACAATCACCATCGTCGGCAACTGTCAAACCCATTCAGATTCCAATTGTTTGTTTCCCGGTCGTCACGAGTCATCGCACCTGTCCTCGGGTCCAAGATAACAGATAGACATAGCCACGAAGTGACAAACAAAGAGACTTGCAACGTCGTAAGAGCTAGTTCGCAGGGTCACTGGTCACCGCGCGGTTGTCCATGCAACCTCAGGCCATCAGGGTTCAGGGAAAAATCACTGTTATAATAAAGAGATGTGCTTCACAACTGCCGATTGGGCAATGATGCGATGGGATATGTAAGTACATGTGGGGGTTTGGTGGGTCGTCATGACGTGAGGAAGAACAGAAAATTCTCGTGCGCGCTTCCTTGAGTGCCTTGTGTGTGATGGTATTGTACATGTAATACCCAGAACCTCGGCAGCGAACAGCACCCCTGGATGCAAAGAAAAATTCAAGGAAAGACTAGTAGAACACGGCGCGTTGGGGGTGGAGGGTGTAGGGGAAATACAAACGAAACAGCGGGGTGTGAAGTATCAGCGACGGGCAACGCGCTTGCGTTCACGCCCGTCCTCTTCAATGTCCATCGCATCCTGCGTGTGTTGATTCTGATGTACACCACGTGTCGACCGCGTGCGCCGACGGCTCGATCCTGCACCCGCGCTTGCTGCTCCGCCCGCGGAGGCAGTGTCTTCCGACAGCACCATCATGGCATGCCGGCGTTTCGCTCCTGCTGACACGGCCAGCGGCAGTGGGATCGCGAGCGCCTCTGTCGGTGCCGGCGAGGACGGCAGAGGCGGGAACGCAGTAAACGTGAACGGTGACTCTGGGGATATCGGGAACGGATGTATCGTGGAGGGTATGGCCGCCGAGGGGTGCGGGTTCTCCTTTGCATGTAGGGACGATGCGAATGCGCGGGGTTTGGGAGTCTTGGCGGGTGGGGCTGTAGAGGGAGTGGCCGTGCGGTGGTAGCCGGTGGAGAAGGTGGCGCTGATGGCGATGTGGTCGGTGCAGTCGTGATCGGTTGCGATAACTTGGCCGGAGCAAGGGGTCCCTACGGGGAGAACAAATGGCATTCAGGATACCAACAGTCCACGAGAGACAAGTGTAAAGGGAGGGAGAGAACTCACCTGCTCGCGGGGCGGCTGCTGCGGTACGGCCGGGGCGCTATTTGCCCGCGGAAGGTTAGAAGTCGAACCCGCCTTGAGCTTTCCGACCTGGCCGTCCTTCTTGTTGCGCTTTCCTCGTCCTCCTCTTCCTCTTCCTCTTCACGAGCGCGGACCGCCTCGAGGCGTGCCTCGACCCAGTCCATGACCCGCCCTATGGTGGGTGGCGTCTCGGAGTCGGACACGCCTTGTTGGATCATCTGCAACAGGTCGGCGCAGGCCGCGGCATAGCCAGAGTTGTAGGCGCGCTTGGAGGTGGCCCGCGAGGAGCGATAGAGATTTGTTATACTTAGTGCGGCCGCTTTTGAGGAAAAATGACAAGGGGGTCAATCTCCGCAGGAGAGATCGTGATAGGGAAAAAAAAGGACGATTACCTCTGAAATTGTTGAGCAGCTCCTTCTCTGCGTTTGCGAGATTCGAGGTTGGGAGCGAGCCCGCAAGTGCATTAAGATTAAGGGACTCCATGGAGTGTCTAGTGAAGGAGGACAGGACACTTGTCCTCGTTGTTCGGGTGACAAAACTCACTCGACTGGAGGACCGCCGATGACTAAGCAAGCCACAAACTCAGCACGGCCCGGACACACACTCAATTAGGGTTGGTCCTATCTACACAGCCTGTCGTCCTCTTCCCTTCTCCTTCTCCTCCAGATACCCGGCAACCTTCAAGTCGAGGCAAGGAGCAAAGCAGCTCTTGGTGCGTATGCGCGCGCCGTATTTGTAGAACAGGAACGGCATCGGTGCGAGGACGAGTGCGATGCCGCCCAGGAGCGTGGCGGCCCAGTTGATGCCCAAGCCGACAAACATCTGCGTCGTGAAGAGCGGGAACGCTGCGCCGGTCGCCGAGCGGATGATCGTATGACCCGCGAGTGCAGACGCCGCATACATCAGGTAGGTATCGACCAGATAACTCTGCGGCATTCACATCACCACGAGCAAGGCTGAAAGAGACAGGACGCACGATGAAGGAGATGAATACGAGCGTGATCGCCATCCCGATGAAGATCGTGCTCAGCCCGGGAACCCACCAGGGTACGCTCTCGTAGCTCCCGCTCCAGCCGAGCCACAGAATACCTATCACCAAAATGGGGCCGCCAACCATGGCCGAGTAGAGACGCTCCTCAGCCGGTGGAAACCCGTACCACTGCTTGAGGAGGCGAGGGTATGAGCGCAAGAAACAGAGGTTCACGATGCAGGCGAGGACGGCACCTATGCCGATGCCGATGAAGACAAGCCCATCGTTCGAGATCGAAAAGTGGCGCGTGCGGATGAAGATCACCGGGAGGGCCTGGAACACTGCGCGGCAAGACCGGTGGTCAGAAATCCTGGCGGAGGACCGACGAGACGACGAGACGTACTTGCGTAGATAACACCATAAGCGACCGAGAGGTAGATCGTCGAAAGCAGCAAGATCGGTTCGACCAAGAGCATCTTGAAAGGGCGAAAGATCGTACGTTCGAGGACGGCACAGGGGGCCCAGCTGACGCGCTCGCTCTCTGCATAGAATTCCTTGTTCTTCTCGGGATCCGCCTTGCGTA